ACTCTGTTCTGGAGATGGTCCATAAATTCAGGTGGGATGTAGTTAAGGTCACATTTTTGTTTTAACTTAAAAAAGAATCATTTTATCAGGGGCTCTTACAGCTCTTATAACATTCCATACATCAATTGTATCAAGCATATTTGTACATATGTTGCCATATAAGCACCTCTTTTATCCCTTTCTTCCCCCACCTTCCCACCCTCCTGTACCCTTGATCAATTATATACTGTTATAGTTATTTCATCTCTTACATTGTCCATTGTCTCCCTTCACCTACATGTCTGTTATTCGTCCCCTTGGGGTTGGGGGAGGCTATATATTCAATCTTGTGATGGGTTCCCCCTTCCTTACCCTTCCCCCTCCCTGGCCATCTCCTTATCCTCATGATATCACTACTCCCATTACTGTTCCTGAGGGGTTTATCTTTCCTGAATTCCCCATGTCAAGAGCTCTCATCTGTACCAAGGTGTGTTCTCCGGTCTAGCCATATTTGTAAGTTAGACCTGGGTCATGGTGGTCGGGGAGGAAGTATTCAGGAACTAGAGGAATGATGTGTGATTCATCGGTGCTACACTACACCTTGATTGAATCATCCCTTCCTTATCCCATTTCTGTGGGGGGATATCCAATTATCTACATATGGGCTTTGGGTCTCCACTCTAACCCCTCCCTTTCACATCGATATGCATGTTTGTTTTGGATCTTTTGATACCTGATGATTGATTCCATCAACACCTCATGATCACACAGGCTGGTGTGCTTTTTCCATGTGGGCTTGTTTGCTTCCCTGCTAGATGGCCGCTTGTTTGACTTCAAGCCTTTAAGACCCCAGATGCTACTATACCTTTTGATAGCTGGGCACCATCTGCTCTCTTTACCACATTTGCTTATGCACCCATTTTGTCTTCAGCAATCATGTTGGGAAGGTGAGTGCCAGGTTATCAGAACAAAGTGTTCTTGTGTTAAGGGAGGCCCTGAGTAGAGGCCCAAAGTCTGCCTGCTATCTTAATACTTATCATATAAATATATGCACATTGGCCTATATCCCTTTCATTATAAATTAACATATTTACATATATACATGCCTATAGCTATACCTCTATAAATAGCTTTTGCCTCCTGCTTCTTTCCTCTATTTCTTTCACCTTCTTCCTGTTCCACTATCATGCTCACCCTCCATTCGGCTCTCAGTATTTCCTCTGGATACATTGCTCTTGATCAAGCTCCCTGGCATGATAAGCCTTCTTCACCATCAATTTTAG